TACGTAGATGGAAGTAGGCGGTCCTTGAAATTGATTTTATGTGGGCGTTAAAGGATAAATCCTGATCAAATATAACACCAAGATTCCTTACAGTCTCACTGGAGGCCAAATTAATGCCATCCATAGTTAGTATATCCTTAGATAATTTGTTTCGTAGATTCTTCGGGCCAAGTACAATAACTTCAGTTTTGGTCGTGTTTAACATCAAAAAGTTTAAGGTCATCCACGTTTTTAAGTCCTTAAGGCAGTCTTGAATTTTATTTAGATGATTAATTTCATCAGGCTTGATTGATAAATATAGTTGAGTATCATCCGCATAACAATGAAAGTTTACAGAATGATTCCTTATAATATTGCCTAACGGAAGCATATATAATGTGAACAAAATAGGTCCGAGCACTGAGCCCTGTGGCACTCCATGGCTAACTTTGGTTTGCGTGGAAGATTCATCATTGACACGTACAAACTGAGAGCGTTCAGATAGATAGGACCTAAACCAGTCTAAAGCAGTTCCCTGTATGCCAACTAAGTGCTCTAGTCTTTGCAATAAGATATCATGGTCGATAGTATCAAATGCAGCACTGAGATCGAGCAAAACAAGAATAGAGACACGTCCCTTGTCAGAGGCTATTAGAATGTCATTTGTGACTTTAACCAGAGCTGTCTCTGTGCTATGATGTGTTCTAAAGCCAGACTGAAAAGCTTCAAATAAATCATTGTTTTTAAGTAATCACACAACTGTTTTGCGACCGCTTTCTCAAGAATTTTTGAGAGGAACGGAAGATTAGAAATAGGTCTATAGTTGGCTAAAACCTCTGGATCGAGGTTGTGCTTTTTAAGAAGCGGTTTTATCACTGCTACTTTGAATGATTGTGGAACATAGCCTGATAATAAAGACATATTCATAATATTTAATAAATAAGTGCTAATTAATGGAAAAACTTCCTTCAACAGCTTAGTTGGAATTGGGTCTAACATGCACGTTGATGGTTTAGAAGAGAGAATCATTGAATTTAATTGTTCAAGGTTTATGGCTGAAAAGCATTCTAGTTTACTATCTATTGTAATATTAGAACTTACGTTTCCGGGAGCTGTTGATAACACTATACTGGTCAAAGGCAAGAGGTCATTAATTTTGTTTCTAAGAGTAACAATTTTATCGTTAAAAAAGCACATAAAATCATTACTACTGAGTGCTATGGGAATAGAAGGCTCAATCGAGCTGTGGCTTTCTGTCAGCCTGGCTACAGTGCTGAAAAGAAATCTTGCATTATTCTTATTCTCATCTATTAATGAAGAGTAGTAAGCTGCTCTCGCTTTACGCAATGCTTTCTTATATTCATTGAGAGTAATATGCCAAATTAAACGAGATTCTTCAAGTTTAGTAGAACGCCATATCCTTTCAAGTTGTCTCGACTTTTGCTTTATTTTGCGGGTTTCGGCATTATGCCATGGAGCTAGTCTATGTTGTTTTATTTTCTTCTTTTTCAAAGGAGCAACAGAGTCTAATTTTATTCGCAGCGCATCTGTAGCACTATCAACAACATGATCAATTTGGGGTGGTGTACATTTTGTATAAGTTTCCTCCCTTACATACAGACATGCTATCGAGTTAAGTATTGGTGGAATCTCTTCCTTAAATTTGGCTATAGCACTAACAGATAGGTTTCTGCTGCAGGAGCTTTTGAATAATGCTTTGTAGTCTAGTAACAGTACTTCAAAAGTCACTAAGAAATGGTCGGATAAAGCAGGATTATGCGGTTCGACTAATAGTTGCTCAATTTCAATACCATAAGTCAGAACAAGGTCGAGAGTGTGATTATAGCAGTGGGTTGGTTTATTTACACTCTGACAAAAACCAACAGAATCTAATATAGAGTTAAATGCAACAGTAAGGCTATTTTTATCATCGTCAACATGAATATTAAAGTCACCTACGATAATTACTTTATCTGTTTTAAGAACCAAAGTTGATAAAAACTCAGAGAATTCAGATAAGAATTCTGAATAAGGACCTGGTGCACGGTACACTGTAACAAATAAGATTGGCTGCAAAGTTTTCCAGGTCGGATGCGTAAGATTAAAAACGAGACTTTCAAAGGAGGTATAATTTAATTTTGGTTTAGTATTGATAAGTAAACTTGAGTCAAAGATGGCTGCAACTCCACCTCCTCGGCCCGTGCCTCGGGCAATAAGCAATAAGCTTCTTAGTGCAATACGAAGCTACAGGGACGTTAATAATGTCGGTAATATTAACTTTATTTAATACAACATTTACGGTACAAGATTTAATCATACAGCCCATGTATGATAATGAATTACACCAAACATGTGCAATATATCCATTATTACAGCTCCGTGGGCTAGCAGTAAGACGATATGGGTCCATTGTGCATCCATGGGTAAAGATAAACGCAACTCACATTGGTTTCTCAAAGAGCATCTCTGTAAACTACGTGTATTCACTGAATTTCACTCTCTGCCTTTAACGGCTCGTTGTAGCTCCAATAGCTCCAATAGCTCCAATAGCTCCAGCCCCCACCGTCCCTGTGAGCAGTGTGCTCTGATTGGTCGGGACACGTAACATGAATGTGCCGGGCGGCGCGTTCATAATGCAGAGGGAAATAACTCTCAGAATAACGTTATTAGCACATTTTTACAACTTGAGGAACGAATGTTTTTAATAAGGGATATACAAGTGTTCGTTTATTTAGTTTAAAAAAAATTATCCAACGAGTTACAGACCACTCTTTCCCCATGTAAGTCAATGGTAAAAAGTGTTTCCGGGCCTGGCAACCAAACGGAAGTGTAGTACCGCCGTTTGGCCAGCACGATTATTTTCATCTGAGTCCGGCGCACTTCCTGGGGGCTTGGTGCCAGCGGATAAAGCACGTCAGCGGAACCCGGAAGTGGCCTTCGTGCCAAAGAGCAAGAGGGAGCAAGAGCGACACTGACCCCTCTTTATAAAGGTTGCCCCGTGTGGTGATAGGGCTGAACAGTCTATCCTGCTACACTATTGATCTCATAGAATCTGCATGGCTGCTGATTAAACATGCAGCAGTAATACTATTCCACAAACAAATATATATAATATGGAACAATACACTGCACAGTTAACACTAGAGTACCCAAAACAACAACAAGTAATGAATGCAGGATGTTTTTAGATTTATTTTCACTTTGTGGTTTTATTACTTTTTCTTCAATAACTTTATTTCCCTTGTTTTTAGCTTCATGTCTATTTCTATGGTTCTTATACGTGTTTTTGTAACCGTACTCTGAGAGCAACTGAAAACAATCCCTGTTTGTCCATGTGATGATGCTGGTTATGAAACAAAGGGAGGAGCTACAGAGAGGGAAGGGTGTTCAAAGTGAAAGAAGGAAGTCAGACTGCCAGACTCCATTTTACACTTCGACAGAGGAGCAGGAGGAAAACAGAGTGAGTTTTAACAACAGACTCTGCTTTTTAACACATTAATAATGTACTCAGTTGAACTGTATGTCAGAAAATAATCTGTAAATACAAATATATTTATTTCCTGGAGTTGAAAGTGACATCTTCAAATGTTGTGAACTTTTTTATCCATTTCCTGGTTTCTAAATCAGAGTTTCATAACATGCGACAGCCCAGCGCAGTCTTGATTGATTGAAAAGTTTATTAACAGCTTGTATATTGGGTACAGTACAGTACAGCTCAAAACATACAATTGTTAAGGGGATGCAGACCAGAGAAAGACTTTCGTCTTGTTTACATCAGGGTCCCCCATTTCCAATTCATCATGTCATTTAAGACATATAAGACATATTTGACATACATATTGCTTATTTACAATTTTCATACAGGTGGTTTTTTACATACAGATTGCTTGTTTACAATTTTCATTTTAGATTTCGTTCTAATACATCCTAACCGGACATTTCAGACATACCAAGTCTACAGATATACAGTTAGTAACAGAGTCTAAAATGCGAGTATATACATAGATGGGGGGGGGGGGGGGAAGCTGTCCATTGAACGACAGGTTGAGATTTGTACCATTACCGGGGCCAGTTTTGCAATGCTCTCCCCCGAAGGTGCTCTTTAAGAGAGGTTTTGAAGGTAAGTATAGTTTTACTTTCCTTTACAGTTGTGGGAAGAGCGTTCCACCTTGATGTGGCATCATTGCGAAACGTGTATTCCCCCTTTTTTGTGCCAAATCTGGGTTTCACATGATTTGTGGAGCTCCCTCTGGTGTTATGATCATGGTATTCCTTGACCTTTGGGAATAATTTTGACATGTACATGGGTACCATAGAGGTGTAGTGGATCTTGTAGACCAGGCCCATTGCAAGTAGCTGTACTCTGTCGTCTACTCTAAGCCATCCTAGGTTGTCAAAGTGGGCAGAGGTGAGGTGGGTTCTAGATGAAAGGTCAAGAAGTAGTCTGACCAGTTTATTTTGCGATGTTTGAAGTTTTATTTTTAGCGCCTTGGAGGTGCTATGGTACCATGACGTGCAAGCATAGTCATAGTACCCTTGAATGAGTGCTCCTGCTAGAGTTTTCAGGGTGTTTTTGTTTACCAGAGAGGAGATCCGGTATAGGAATCTAGTTCTTTGATTGACTTTTTTTATTACATTGGATGCCATTTTGTCACAGGAGAGGTTTGTCACATGGAGAGCAGCCTGTCTGAAGTCTGACTGAGTTGATGTATTGATACCAAGTTTATCATTGTGATGGTTTAGATTGACATCATGTTATTATTATAATGTGTGTGTGTGTGTGTGTGTGTGTGTGTGTGTGTGTGTGTGTGTGTGTGGTGTGTGTGTGTGTGTGTGTGTGTGTGTGTGGTGGGTGTGTGTGTGTGTGTGTGTGTGTGTGTGTGTGTGTGTGTGTGTGTGTGTGTGTGTGTGTGTGTGTGTGTGTGGTGTGTGTGTGTGTGTGTGTGTGTGTGTGTGTGTGTGTGTGTGTGTGTGTGTGTGTGTGTGTGTGTGTGTGTGTGTGTGTGTGTGTGTGTGTGTAGTGTTACTGGTTTTTCTCTCAGACTAGAGAAGATGAGTGATTTCAAAGTTGAGGAAGAGGACACATACTCTCAATTCCCCAGCGGTCTGTGCGGGAGTGAGCAGTCTGAAGAGGAACCTCCAGACTTCAGAGATGAACCCGGACCCTCAGACACAAAGTAAGAGTCTGTTTCTACTGTGACCTGAAGAGGATTCCGTTTTTATATTATCTGATCATCTAAACGGTTCTTTTATAATTACATGAGGGCAGTAGAGTACAGACACTCTGTAGATATAGTATAATGATAGTAATAACCAGGTGAGCTGGTTGTATTTATCATTAGACGATTTATTTTGTGAGGTGCGATAAACTGTAGGGTCAATGCGCATAAATGTGCCTGGCAACACAAATCAAAAGAAGATGTGAAATGTATATCCCCCCCGTGTATTCACACAACTTGTAAAGTTGCAACTTGAGAGTGAAGTTTGTGACGCTCTGTTACAAAAACCTGTCAGTGTTGAGCTTCTGCTCCTGTGGTCACTGACATGCTGAGATGAATCAGAAGAGGGAACATCAGCACCCAGAGCTCTACAGCACCTCATGTTAAATCAGGGTTCTTCATGTACCTGTATATAAACCAGAGACTGTCTGTGGTGCTAACAATATAATAGCTGCTGTTCTTATGACTGGATGTCATTTAGACACAGCAGCTACAACGTTAGCCTAGCTTTAATCGATCTCCATTCAGAAAACTAACATTTAAAGTGTTTTGCTTGTTGTGTTGCAGACAGACCTGACAAAGCATTAACTCAGGCTTTTAACAAATCACTATCATTACATTGTTATTTCGGCATCCTTTCCATATCTTTAAAGACATTAATTCACAGCAAATTATATGTAAATTGGGTTCATAGTGCTAAAGTGTACCAGATTAATGCAGCTGATGTTATGAACCCAGACACAAAGTTGTGTGGTTCCCTGATTATATGAATAACTAACCATTATCTACCTGAGAGAATCAGCTCCACTAATGTAAAGTGCTATAAAGGATGTGTTCATCTCCACAGAGGGAAGAGGAAGAGTCCTGTTCCTGTGGAGGAGCAGCTGTCTAGCTGTGCTCTGTGTCAGGACGTCCTGAAGGATCCAGTCTCTACCAGCTGTGGACACTGGTTCTGCAGACAGTGCATCACCTCATACTGGGAGCAGAGACCTCCATCAGGAGACTCCTGCTGTCCTCAGTGTCGAGAAAGATGCAACATTCTACAAAGTAAGAAGCCGAACACATTCAAGGTTCAAGGTTCAAGGCTTTTATTTGTCATACGAACATAGCTACAGTGTAGTTATGACGATGACAATCATAGGTCACAGGCTCCTCCAACAGAGCAACACAATAAAACAGAAAAACAGAAAAAAAGTAAATACAAAAAGAAAAATGTAAAAAAAGTGAAATAGTTCAATTAGAGTCTACATATAAGTCATTGGAATATGATATATTAGATAAATAATTAGCAACCAGCTTAATGTTATGAATGCTGTTTGAAAGTTCAGGTGGTTAACAGTCTTATGGCCTGTGGGATGAAACTGACCCAGAGTCTGGTGGTTTTAGTCAGGATGCTGCGGTACCGCCTGCCAGACGGCAGCAGACAGAACAGTTTGTGGCTGGGGTGATGGGGGTCTTTGATAATCCTGAGGGCTTTCTTCCTGAGCCGCTGGGAGTAAAGGTCCTCCATTGATGGCAGCTCCTTCCTGGTGATGTGCTGTGCAGTTGGCCGATAACGGTCGTGTCGTCAGCAAACTTCACGATGGTGTTGGAGCTGTGTGTGGCCACACAGTTGTGAGTGAACAGGGAGTAGAGCAGAGGGCTGAGCACGCAGCCTTGAGGGGCTCCGGTGTTGAGGATCAGGGTGGAGGATGTGATGTTTCCCACCCGCACTGCCTGGGGTCTGCCCGTCAGGAAGGTCAGGAAGTTCAGGATCCAGTCACAGAGGGCGCTGTTGAGCCCGAGGTCTCTGAGCTTGATGGCCAGCTTGGAGGGCACAATGGTGTTGAAAGCTGAACTGTAATCAATGAACAGCATTCTCACAAGTGTTCCTCTGGTCCAGGTGTGAGAGGGCAGTGTGGATGGTGAGGGCTATGACGTCATCTGTGGACCTGTTTGCTCTGTAGGCAAACTGCAGGGGGTCCAGAGAGTCAAGGAGGGAGGAGGTGAAGAAGGGTTTGACTAACCGCTCAAAGCACTTCATTATGATGGAGTGCTACTGGGCGGTAGTTGTTGAGGCTGGTGATTATTGTCTTTTTGGGACAGGAACGATGGTGGAGTGTTTGAAGCATGTGGGGACTACAGACTGCAGCAGGGACCTGTTGAACACCTCTGCCAGCTGAACTGCACACACCCTGAGAACACGGCCAGGGATGCCATCAGGTCCAGGAGCCTGTGTGGATTAACCCTTTTAAAGGATTTACACACATCCGCCCTTTTTAAAACAAAATGGCAGGGCTCCCGGTCCTTCTGTGCCTCCACAGCCTGACTGCTCTCGAATTGAGCACAAAAGCTGTTCAGCTCATCTGGGAGAGATGCGCACGCAGACACTCCCTTAACACCCCCTGCTGCTCCTTTGTAGTCTGTCATTGTTCTTAGTCCCGCCCACAAGTTCCGGGTGTTACAGCCTTTGAAGTCAGACTCCATTTTGTCTCTGTATTGTCTCTTTGCACTGCTGATTGCTCTCCGGAGTTCATACCTTGATTTCCTGAACTCATCTGAATCTCCACCTCTAAACGCGATAGTGCGCGCTTTCAGCTTGGTACTGTTGGAGCAATGAGTGGTCTGAAACCCACCTCGGCTCCACGCGTCCTTTGATGAGCTGGTCAAATTATAAAAGAAGGAATTCAAAGCACCAGGATAAAGATTAAACAATAATCTGTTTTAATGGTAAACAACAACAATACACTTTAAAGGGGCACCCCTGCTATGTCCCCAGTACACTTTAAAGGGGCACCCCTGCTCTGTCCCCAGTACACTTTAAAGGGGCACCCCTGCTCTGTCCCCAGTACACTTTAAAGGGGTACCCCTGCTCTGTCCCCAGTACACTTTAAAGGGGCACCCCTGCTCTGTCCCCAGTACACTTTAAAGGGGCACCCCTGCTCTGTCCCCAGTACACTTTAAAGGGGTACCCCTGCTCTGTCCCCAGTACACTTTAAAGGGGCACCCCTGCTCTGTCCCCAGTACACTTTAAAGGGGTACCCCTGCTCTGTCCCCAGTACACTTTAAAGGGGCACCCCTGCTCTGTCCCCAGTACACTTTAAAGGGGTACCCCTGCTCTGTTCCCAGTGCTGGGAGATCTTACTATCTTGGCAGCAGGAGGAAAAGAGACCGGACACAAGGACACAACAGGGCTTCATGTAGTTAGAAAGGGAGGGGTTGTGTAGGATGCTCCTCCCATATAGGTCATCCATTGGGCGATACAAAAACGATGGCCGGTCGCAACGAATCAGCGCGAGCCAGCCGAGGCGACCCGGAAGCAAGAGTCTCTTACGTTTGAGACAAAACAAACACATCTGGTGTTCGTTGTCTCGCATTCTTGCAGCCTGCACACACACACACACATTTTCTGCATAGACTTCCCTCTCTCCGGCCCCCTCCCCCATCAGTTCAATACACACAGCTCCACACACCCTTGGCATTTTTAAGATATGTCTAAGATATAGTTGTTTATCGTTGACTAATACAAGTAATACATGTACGTTACTTTAATATCAATAATAACGAGGAAAACATTACCTCTGCTCCCAAGCAATCCTACAGATTAAACAATAATCTGTTTTAATGGTAAACAACAACAATACACTTTAAAGGGGCACCCCTGCTCTGTCCCCAGTACACTTTAAAGGGGTACCCCTGCTCTGTCCCCAGTACACTTTGAAGGGGCACCCCTGCTCTGTCCCCAGTAGACTTTAAAGGGGTACCCCTGCTCTGTCCCCAGTACACTTTAAAGGGGCATCCCTGCTCTGTCCCCAGTACACTTTAAAGGGGCACCCCTGCTCTGTCCCCAGTACACTTTAAAGGGGCACCCCTGCTCTGTCCCCAGTACACTTTAAAGGGGCACCCCTGCTCTGTTCCCAGTACACTTTAAAGGGGCACCCCTGCTCTGTCCCCAGTACACTTTAAAGGAGCACCCCTGCTCTGTCCCCAGTACACTTTAAAGGGGTACCCCTGCTCTGTTCCCAGTGCTGGGAGATCTTACTATCTTGGCAGCAGGAGGAAAAGAGACCGGACACAAGGACACAACAGGGCTTCATGTAGTTAGAAAGGGAGGAGTTGTGTGCGGATGCTCCTCCCATATAGGTCATCCATTGGGCGATACAAAAACGATGGCTGGTCGCAACGAATCAGTGCGAGCCAGCCGAGGCGACCCGGAAACAAGAGTCTCTTACGTTTGAGGCAAAACAAACACATCTGGTGTTCGTTGTCTCGCATTCTTGCAGCCTGCACACGCACACACATTTTCTGCATAGACTTCCCTCTCTCCGGCCCCCTCCCCCATCAGTTCAATACACACAGCTCCACACACCCTTGGCATTTTTAAGATATGTCTAAGATATAGTTGTTTATCGTTGACTAATACAAGTAATATATGTACGTTACTTTAATATCAATAATAACGAGGAAAACATTACCTCTGCTCCCAAGAAATCCTACAGCAATGTGAGAAATAGTAGACCTTTACAGCATGTTTAACGCACACTCATTTCACCATGCACACCATGCAGCCCACCAGATGTTTGACATGCTGTGTCCAAATAAGGATATCTCATCTCTCACATCTCCACTACTCTTAATACAAATGTTTCACTTCTCATATTTCCTGCTTCTTGTTATACAGACTGCTATTATTTAATACAAAGTAATTAAGTACACACATATGTTTAAGCAAACTCATATCTGGATACTAGGAACACAGGTTACTTCAGTACGCACCTCGCTGTTTATCCAGGGCTTTTGATTCGGGAATGTTTGTACAGTAAACTTCAGTACCACGTCATCGATGCATTTCCCAATGTAGCAAATGTGTGTGTTGATTAGGGTTGCAAAATTCCGGGAATTTTCAAAGATGGAAACTTTCCACGGGAATAAACGGAAATTTATGGGAATAAACCGGGAATTTTCCAAATTGAAGGTTGGATCTTCATAGGGAACTTAAACATAGTTGGGGAAAGTATATTTTAGAATAATCTTGACTAAAACAAACCGATGCCATTCAAGTACACTTGAAAATCCATGGCATAGCACACGGCTTACTGCATGGCTATTGAGACCACACAAAGGTTCCCAACAGGCTCACAAATGTGAGGGTGGAAACACTGGTTGGCATCCGGGCAATCCTAATGCTCTCTTACCACATTCACACCAACGCAACTCCAGTTCAAGCTCCGTGCTTTTCAGGTTCAGAACCAGTTCTTCGGTTTAGCTCTGGCTCTTTTCACACCGCCCAGAGTCCGACTGGTAATGCGTCGTTGCGTCATCGTTTGCGTCATGACGTAACCGTTTACGTGCCTACTTCATAAAGCCAAACCGCGCGGATGAAATCAGGTGCATTAAATTTTATGGCTCTATCTGCAGCTTTTCCGGAGTCATTTCTGTGGTTTAGTTATATTCTTATAAAAAAGTGTACTTGTGTCAATAAAGGTTTTTTTAAAACACAACTGCTTCCGAGGTCGGTCTTATTTCTTAAGGTGGACTGAACCATGAGTGTGGAGTAACGTTGTATCTTTCATTTAAATGAACAGTAACCTTCACCCAGGTATGTAACAGCTGTTCTCAAATGAACACATGAAGTAAAGTTTAATATTTATAGTTTTATAGATTTATAATGAGTTATAATGAGAGGTGATCAACGTGAATGCTCAGGTTCCACCTTAACACGCAGACACGTTGCTTTACCATGAGCAGAAACCTTTATATATACAGTCTATGGCAGAAACACTGAAACTCTTGTTAAGTTTCTCCATCGTTGTGTACAAACTCAATAAAACGCGGGCTTTTTGTTGTTGTTCAGGAGTTTATCTGTCTCTGCCCCCCGCCTCAACGTAAGCGTGACGTATGCGGTGCTTTTGCTCTGGCCGGACAATTTTTTGGTGCTTGAAACGAACCGGATTCCGGAGCTAACAGGCTGCTCCGCTGCGGTGTGAAGAAGAAAACCCGGTGCTTTTCAAGCTCCAGCTCCGAACCGGCCCTGAAACACCGTTGGTGTGAATGAGGTATCTGAGCTGGACACAGAGCCATCCTCAACCAGGCTAGACAGTGGCACTGCAGAGGAAGACTCAGAGTGTGATGTTGATGAGGCCCAGGAAGAGCCCGTTGACTGAAAGGCTTTAGCAAAAATGCAGAGGATTGCTTGAAGGAAGATTTGCATGTTTAATGGGACTTTTTGGAGGGAGAAGGGCTCTTTCCATTTAACATTTTGAATGGGACTTTGTGGGGATTTTTGGATGGGATGTGGGTTAACATTTTTATTTATTTTTTAAATCTGTTGAAATGTCATGTTTTTTTGTTTAATTTTGCATTGAATATTTCCAAAATTCCCCAGCTTAACTTCCCATGGAAACTTTCCAGATATTTACCGGAAACTTTCCGCCCCTTTGCAACCCTAGTGTTGATATTCAACCATATCTGATGACTTTTGGAAGGAGGCCCTGAGAGCTGTTAGCTCATCCTCCAGTTGCGCTAGACTCAGCCTAATACAGATTATCCTTAGACTACATTATAGCAAGGCTAAGCTCTCCAGGATTTATCCAGATAGATTAGATGACAGGTGTGATAGATGCTCCCAGGCCCCCTGCGACCTGACTCACATGTTCTGGTCGTGCCCTAAATTATCTAGCTTCTGGCAATCTTTCTTCGAATGTATTTCTGAAATTGTAGGTCTAAAAACCTCTCCATCCCCTCATGTAGCTATTTTCGGTCGGCCCCCAGATGAAATCAACATTACAAACACTCAAACCAATGTCATTGCCTTTACCGCCTTGATTGCTCGTAGGAAAATCCTTCTTTTGTGGAAATCTCCTTACCTCCCTCTTTTAAAATGTGGCTGAGTGATACGTTAAGGGAAAGTGAGTAAGGGTTCTTTTTGGGGGAAAACATGAAAATGCCTTAATTGCTGTAATGCACTGTTTCACTTTTTTTCCATGTGAATAAAAATATTTTTAAAAAAAAAAATCATGACATTTAAAACCCTGACTGTTTTTTTATTTTATTTTCATCATCAGATTCTCAAAAGCATTGTCCTGATTCTCTCATGTTTCCTTCCAGCAGAACGTGGTCTGCAGGAGGTTCTAGATGAACATAGGCTCAGTCTGAGGAGGAGATGTGAACGTGTGACTGAAGGAACTGATGAAAGTGAAACCCTCCTCAACAGGATCTTCACTGAGCTCTACATCACACAAGGCCAGAGTGAAGAGGTTAATACCCAGCATGAGGTGAGGCAGCTGGAGACAGCTTCCAAGAAGAAGCCCCTCCATGACACTCCAATCAAGTGCCAGGACATCTTTAAAGCCTCACCTGACCAACAGACTCCCATCAGAGCGGTCCTGACCAACGGAGTCGCTGGAGTTGGAAAAAGCTTCTCAGTGCAGAAGTTCACTCTGGACTGGGCCGAGGGTTTGGGAAACCAAGATGTCAGTCTGGTGATCCCGCTCTCCTTCAGGGAGCTGAACCTGATCAAAGGTGAGCAGTACAGTCTTCTCAGGCTGCTCCATGTTTTCCATCCCACCTTACAGAAGGTCACAGCAGAGCAGCTGGCTGTCTGCAAAGTGCTGTTCATCTTTGACGGCCTGGATGAAAGCAGACTTTCTCTGGACTTCACAAACAATGAGGTTGTGTCTGATGTCTCACAGCAGTCCTCAGTCAACGTGCTGCTGACAAACCTCATCAGGGGGAAGCTGCTTCCCTCGGCTCTCGTCTGGATAACTTCCAGACCTGCAGCGGCCAATCAGATCCCTCCTGAGTGTGTGGACAGGGTGACAGAAGTACGAGGCTTCACTGACGCCCAGAAGGAGGAGTACTTCAGGAGGAGATGGAGTGATGAAGACCTGTCCAGCAGAATCATCTCTCACATCAAGAGCTCCAGGAGCCTCCACATCATGTGTCTGATCCCAGTCTTCTGCTGGATCACTGCTGCAGTTCTGGACCACATGTTGACTACAGACCAGAGAGGAGAGCTGCCCAAGACCCTCACTGACATGTACGCACACTTCCTGCTGGTCCAGACCAAGAGGAAGAAGCAGAAGTATGAAGAGGGACATGAGACGAGTCCACAGCAGCTGACGGAGGCTGACAGGGAGCTTCTTCTGAAGCTGGGGAGGCTGGCGTTTGAACATCTGGAGAAAGGAGACATCATGTTCTACCAAGAAGACCTGCAGCGCTGTGGTCTTGGTGTCACCGAGGCCTTGGTGCACTCAGGAGTTTGTACAGAGATCTTCAAAAGAGAGAGTGTGATCTTCCAGAAAACAGTCTACTGCTTTGTTCATCTGAGCATTCAGGAGTTCCTGGCTGCAGTCTACATGTTGCACTGTTACACCAACAGAGACACAGCGGTACTGAAGGACTTCCTGCAGGGAGACTATAGCAACAGGTATAACAGAGATCAGGATTACCCATCCCTGGATGTCTTCCTGGAGGGAGCCATGGAGAAATCCCTCCAAAGTAAAAATGGCCACCTGGACCTGTTTATCCGCTTCCTCCACGGCCTCTCTCTGGAGTCCAACCAGAGACTGTTAGGAGGCCTGCTGGGTCGCACAGGCAAGCGTCCAACAATCATCGAGAGACTCTTCAGAGGCCGGCTGGGTCGCACAGACAACAGACCAGAAACCATCCAGAGAGCCATCAGCAACCTGAAGGAGATGAACAGTTATAACATCTCTCCTGAGAGGAGCATCAACATCTTCCACTGTCTGACAGAGATGAAGGACCACTCAGTAACTCAGGAGATCACAGAGTTCCTGAAGTCAGGGAACAGATCAGAGGAACTCTCTGAGATCCACTGCTCTGCTCTGGCCTACATGCTGCAGATGTCAGAGGAGGTTCTGGATGAGTTGGACCTGAGGAAGTACAACACATCAGATGAGGGACGACGGAGACTGATTCCAGCTGTGAGGAACTGCAGGAAGGCCGAGTAAGTCCAGATGTGATTAACTTTATTAATTAATCTGGATCAGAAGTTTCATTATTATAATAAACACTTTAAAATGTTTGATGTTTTAAATACTTTGAGAGTGAAATTAAATTATCCTAGTTATTCTATTTATTTATAATAATGTGACATTTTAAAGTTTTCTCCTCTTCATATTCCTTTGAGTGAAGGAGGCGACTTGTCAAACAAATTAAGGACTTTTTCCTCACAGCAGCATGTGATCACACCATACAGCAGTGTTTACAGTTATCAGTGAATTAAGTTATTAATATATCATTGCAGTTTCTTCAACATTAAATCAGATCTGTTTTTACCACAATGCTTAAGAGTTTAAAATAAGTCTGACAGGCTGACAATAAATATAGAAAACTCTATTATTAAATCAAATGACATAACAAAAGTTGTTCCATCAAATTCAGTAAGTTAATGAAATGTTTCCTCTGTTTTTAAACTAACACATGTTGTAATATATGTGTTATTATAGACTTACTGACTGTAGACTCTCAGAGACTGACTGTGAAGTCGTGGCCTCAGCTCTGAAGTCTAACCCCTCCCACCTGAGAGATCTGGACCTGAGTCGGAACGCTCTGGAGGATTCAGGAGTGGAGCTGCTGAGTTCTGGACTGAAGAGTCCAAACTGCAGACTGGAGGCTCTGAGGTCAGTTCACTGACTGCAGTTCATACTGATCTGTGAGGGAGAGAGGTTGAGCTTCCACAGACTCACCCTGTGCTCCATGAGTCAGTGGAGATGCTGTCAGTACTGATGAGCTGTGAGGGAGATGAAGGAGTTGTTAAACATCTGATCAAAGTTAGAGTTCCAGATTATCAGTGGATTGTTTCTACATCATCTCTGACATTAAAACCCTGTTCAGCTCACTACTTTGTCATTGAAGTAGAAATACGTTGTGTTTAACATTAATCAGAGCTCTTTCTTTCCTCTTTCTGTATCTTACAGTTTTTAACCTGTTTAGAGATTCCACTTTCTGAACTTCGTCAGCTCTGATCAGATTATTAAAGATCTCCTACCATGTTATTTTTAGGCAGATATAATGGGTCTCAGATATATACAAATATATTAAAAACATGTCTAAGATGTGCTCAAAAATACCAAACAGATTATACATTTTAGACATCCCTCATATCCCTCTATTTCAGCTGCTAGAGAAGGGCTGATTCTGTAGCTGCTGGCCCGCCCCCTGTTGAGCACGGCAAGGCAAGCAGTGAGTTCTGTGATGAGCAGGCTGGCTGCTCTGCTCAGATGCAGCTAAATGCTGCCGTGATTTAACGCCATATCATGTTCCAAACCACTTCTCCCTCATCCAAGGCGCCGCGCAGAGTGGCAGCCTGTTACGGTGTTACCGTTTAACTGGTGGCGCGGGGAACTCGTGATATTCTATAACGGTAGGAATGTGTCAGGGGCGTGTACTTTGAGGAGCCTTTGTCGAATAACCAGGAAATACACATTTCGATCGCTTCTTCTGTCGTTTACATTCATCTGTTGGTATATTTGGCTCCATAGGAACACTTTGATGCACTTTCAGTACCAGTGTGTGAGGTTGTGGTTGCGATGCCGATATCCGGACGCATACAGTTAGGACTACAAAAAGACACACGAGGTGACTGGGGATGTCTGTTCAAAACATTGCACGCTTGAATAAATCATTTAAACCAGTTATTGTTGCCAGACTTATTACTGTATATCGTTCCTAATGTGATGCCAAGTCCATCTGAGACCTGTGTACACCTTCAGACAGCCTCCAAGTGAAGCACACGGTGTTTACTCACAGTTTGAAAGCAGCGTGGAGAAGTCTTCAGCTGTGGAGCTGTGATCCGCCCAGGATAAACTGTGACACGACTTCTGTTCTGTGGCTATCTCTACCAGCGATCATGTTTAATATTAAAGACTACACACATGTATCCCTTATCAAAACGGTATTCTGCACTTTGCAGCACTTATCCAGATAAGATGTGACTGTTTACTCGCTGCAGGAGTGTAAAGGCCCTGACACACCAAACTGACGGAAATGTGTATTCGTCATTCAAAAGAGGCAACCGGAACGGCCCGTCCACACAGCGGCGTGCGTTGAAAGCTTCACCATTCACTTTGAATGGGGTGACGTCACTTTCCGCCAAACTGCATTGTGGGAAGCGAAGCGGAGCTTTGCTGGCGTGGCTCGCTGCAAAAGTTGAGCAATGTGCAACTTTTGCAGCCTCGGCAGAACGTCAGCCAATCGAATCATATGCCAGTACAAGCTCTAGCCAATCAAAACGCTGCTTGTGTGTCAGGGGCGGGAGATTCATGTGATTGGTTGTTGGTCGAGTTTCAGACGTGATATGTTCAAACATCAGCTCTCTGATGCAGAAATAAACGATGTAAGCATTGTGGCTGGCAGCAAGGGCGCCGGAAGCGGGGGGGCCAGGGGGCCATTGGCCCCCCCACTTTTCAGCCCTGCCCCACATTTTCGCAGCAGCAGATTTTTTTTAATTTTTTTTTTATTTTCAGTCTTTATTTCGAACAGATTCAAAAATAACAAATAACAAATAACAAATGTGAAAAACAGAATACCGTATTGTTATAATACAGTATTTATCCACATGCATGGTAATATTTGTATATTCAACAAAAAAAACAAAAAAAGTCTTCATATTAATAATAATAATAATAAATCATGTGTCCGAAAGGGAGCAGGAGGAAGCAAATGCTTATTAATTCCCACCCCTTACTTGATCAATGATTGTCCTTTAAATCATTATGCAAGTTATTCCTACATACATTTACATTTATACATATACAATAATTTCTCGTCTTCAATCACCTTTCTTCATTCTCATATTTTTCCAAAAAAGTGTTTCTGTACATCCTTTTAAACTGAATGATGCTTGTGCTTTGTTTTAACTCCTGCTCCAAACCATTCCATAAAGTCACCCCACAGATTGTTATACTCATACTTCTCAGAGTTGTTCTGACCTTGAGTTTAAAATGTAGATGTCCTCTCAGATGATACCCACCCTCTCTGTCTACGAACAGTGTTTTTAATTTCCTAGGAAGTAGTTTATGTCTTGCTCTGTACATGATTTGTGCCGTTTTAAATTTAACCAGATCAATGAACTTCAATATGTGTGACTTCAAAAAGAATACATTAGTGTGTTCAAGATATCCAACATTATTGATAACTCTTATAGCCCTTTTTTGTAATGTGCATAACGGCTGTAGGTTGGTTTTGTACGTGTTTCCCCAAATCTCCACACAGTAAATCAGATATGGCAATATTAGTGTGTTATATAGAGTATACAATGAGTTCCAGAATGTATCTGGCTTTTCCCAATATTGCGATAGTTTTAGCTAGTTTTGCTTTTACATGAGTGATATGAGGTTTCCAGCTGATTTTGTGGTCTAAAACCACACCAAGGAACTTCATTTCATATACTCTTTCTATGTGTATGTTATCTAGTATTAATTGTATCTGTGGATTTGTTTTATGTTTTCAACAAATTCAACAAAGTGTTGTCTGTTGCTTAAATAATCTCTCACCCAGTTTAATCCCACCCCTCTGATGCCATACCGTTCCAGTTTTATCAGTAAAATATTGTGATGGTGTCAAATGCTTTTTGTAAGTCTATAAATATTCCCACTGCTTGTTTTTTATTGTCCATGCAGTTTGCTCTTTCCTCACTTAATTCCATTAGTGCCATAGATGTTGATCTATCTTTCCTGAATCCATATTGACTGTCGTCCAAAAGCTGATGTGTTTCCATGAAACTGTGCCGCGGAAAACTGTACAAATCCCGTTTCAATAATTCCCCTCTACTCTAAAGTCGCATCTAAAACGTGATCTGATCTAGCTGTGTATATTTTGTTATTTTTGATTGTTATATTCAATCTCACTAGCTACAGGCATGTTTGAAGCTTGTAAAGGGAAGATGACAGCTCTCGCCACTCTGCTGTTCCTCAGCGCCGCCCCCCTCCCTCCCGATGAAATTATGAATGTAAGGTGTAGAGTAATCATAGATAACACGGCAGGGTCTGTTACAGTTTGTTTTTATCTGACTTCAAATAAGCAAAGTCTTGGGTTTCAGAATATTAAACTTGTTTCGGCAAATTCAGATGATAAATAGGCCTACAACGTTGAAGCTTGTGACGGCATAATTACAAGCGGAGAACGGAGTAGCTTAACGTCACAGCAGGCATAACAACAGCCGGTGTTTCTCGTGAGTGCAGTAATCCAAACGAAAATATCTTCCCTCCGTAGTATTATGATCATTTGCTCTGCTAATAATCAATCATGATGATTGATGATGAGAAATGATGGATTCCAGAGAAGAGACAACTTTAAAGGCCTTTTTCTCAAAATGATGACTCTGTAACAGTCATTATATAATGTGACATATTTTGCTTAATATTTGGAGTACAAAAACAATCCTGATATCATTAGAAAGCTAGGAATCAAAATGTGTCTTCGGGTCAATGCGACTGATTTCGATGGAGCAGCAGGTAACTTTGCATTAGGTAAAATAAAGCAGGCAGACATAACAGGAAGAATATGTACATTTTAACCCAATCAAATAGGACATTGTCACACCATTCAAATGTATCCATGTAAATTACAACCAATAACAAAGCTTAGATTTGTTTATTTGTTACGTTGTTTACTTTATTTGTTACGTTGTTCTGTGTGTGTCAGCCGTTAACCTAGAAATAATATATACACTTGCAAACATGTCAGAAGAACCAGCGCAGAAGAAAACTAAATGTGACCCGCTCTATCGAAATCAGTCGGAAGTCGCAACGGCTCATTTCAGAATAAACGTGGATTTACGTAAAAAACTATTTGTTCAGGGTTCGGGTGTTTTGTTTGATTTTAAACAAACAAAGTCTTGGCTTTCAGAATATGAAACTTTTATTTCCAAAATCACACGATAAATACATGTTTGAAGCTTGTAAAGGGACGAAGAGGCACCTCTCATTCGCAATCTGCTCTTCCAGCAGCGTCGCCCCCCTCCCTCCGCTGAAATTATGAATGTAAGAGTAGAGTAATCATAGATAACACGGCAGGGTCCGTTACAGTTTGTTTTCATCTGATTTTAATTAAACAAAGTCTTGGCTTTCAGAATATTAAACTTGTTTCGGCAAATTCAGATGATAAATACAACTTTGAAGCTTGTAACGGCATAATTACAAGCTGAGAACGGAGTAATTTAACGTCATAGCAGGCATAACAACAGCCGGTGTTTCTTGTGAGTGTTTTCCCCGGGAAACAAACACAATACACACAAACGCAAAATTACACAAACACACACACGTATACACACACACACACACACACACACACACACACACACACACACACACACACACACACACACACACACACACTCGCGAGCTTCCCCTCCAAACGAAAATATCTTCCCTCCGTAGTATTTGATCATTTGCTAATAATCAATCAGATCGATCCAGAGAAGAGGAAACTTTGAATGCCTTTTTCTCAAAATGAGGACTCGGTGACAGTCATGATATAATGTGACATATTTCGCTTAATATTTGGAGAACAAAAACAATCCTGATATCATTAGAAAGCTCGGAATATCCTCTTTCCAACCGTGTATACAACTCAAAATGTGTCTTCGGGTCAATGCGACTGATTTCGATGGAGCAGGTCACAAATACAGTCAATCTAAACTTAAATGTAACAACTGGAAGGTCACATCCCTGACATCCACATCTCCGGAGCCTGGACCTTCATCAATCATAGAAACAGCGAAGCCAGATGAACCCAAAAGCAGCACCTCTGCGGCCGCAGAAACTGTCAAAACCACCGCCGCCGCCGTTGAACCGAAACAGGCTGGTTCCGACTGCATGGAGGTTTGTTGTTGGGACATTGAGGCGGGTAAAGCTGTACAGCTAACTATCGGAAAAAGGAGACCGCTAGTAGATTATTTGAGCAAAGAGAAGGTACTTCAACGCAGAATGGTACAAAAACAGAGAGTGGTTCATTCTTTGCAAAACCACTAAACGATAGTGATACATTGCGATGTTAACAACCTCATGATAACCTCATATTTTTTTAACTTAGGATCATACCTGTGTTTAGTCTAGAAAAAGGTAAATGTGTGCATTTTATTATAAAGTTGTGTATATTTACAGACTATTGCAAAAACTAAGAAGCTTATAAACATCAGGTTTAAAACTAAAAGAGCTTTACAAAAAAGTAACCAAAGATGTTTGGAGTTTTATTTGAGTTATTCATTTACATTTTTTGTCTAAGAGATGCTGATTTGAAACCGTTGTTAGGCCTACATACAGTTACGCATTTCCTGTTTCTGCCAGAGAGAGGGGAGTTTGTCCCAAAGCTTGCTGCTGTATTTACTCCCTCCATCTGACAGGAGGGAGCCTCATGTGTCACTCCACGGAGTTCACTCCATCACGGAGGGGGAGTGTGTAGGTGTAGGGCGTGGTTTGGGATTGGGCCATACACACGCACTTTTTTTGGCCCCCCCACTTCTAAAATGAATCCGGCACGCCTGGCTGGCAGCCTTGAAGTACTGCTGCTACCACATTCCATGCATCAGTAATTATAACCCAAGAGGATATTAATATTCAACATCATAACACTGACGGGCAAATGATGACATTGTTACAAATGAGTGAACTGTCTGTTGAGGTTTCATTTTCCAGGGTCCTGTCCGGTACATACTTGAAGAAGCTATTGTCACCTCATGCAGGAAGTGTGGCAGCAAATTACGTGGCAACTGAGTTGGTCTTCAGTTTCTTCATTCCAGATCGCCATGATGTAAAATAAATGTTTCTGCTGCAGGGATGGTACATTAATGTATAAATAATAATAACAACATGTAACCATGTACTAGTTTCAGAAAGGCTAAACAACAACAAACTACAACAAGTGTAGTTCACTGACTGGCAGAGCACTGATGATCTTTGGATTAAAATAACAAGAACAACCCTACACTGCATGATTCACTCTGAACCTCTGAACACCTGAGATTCATCTTATATTCTCCATCCTGCTTTTAGAAAATGAAATTAAAAAAAATACAGAAATACAAAATATATTTCTGTTAAAATGATCAAACAAGTATTTTCAGTTGTTGCTGTTTCCAACGTGTTCCTGGATCTACATGATGCTGACACTGACTGAATAGTTTACACTGAAGTAGCTGCACGTTGTCTTTAATGTGAATGAGAGCTCTTTTCCTCTTTCTGTGTCTCACAGTTTTTAACCTGTTGGAGTTTCCACTTTCTGAACTCCTTCAGCTCTGATCAGATTATTAAACCTGGAGTTATTTCAAACAGGAACATTGTTTTCTAAAGTTACATCATGTTCTCTTTATTCAGACTGGAGTTCTGCAGTTTGTCAGAGATCAGCTGTTCTGCTCTGATCTCTGCTCTGAAGTCCAACCTCCATCTGAGACATCTGGACCTGAGTAACAACGAGCTGCAGGATTCAGGAGTGAAGCTGCTGAGAGATCTTCTGGAGAGTCCAGACTGCAGACTGGAGACTCTCAGGTCAGTTCTCCATCTGTAACTTCTGTGCTGAGATGAAGAGAGTTGTGTTGACTCTGAGCTGCAGACATCAGGCTGATATCACTCTGATCCTCACTGAGCATCTTAACCAGGGGCGGACTGGCCCATCGGGATTCGTCCCGAACGTCCCGATGGGCCGGTACTGAAGTGGGCCGGTCGGACGATGTGGGCCGTCCGGTAACTGGTATTTTGACAAACAATTTAGTTAAATTGTTTTGTTTATTAACGCTACAACATAGTGTTTCGTGAGGCGGTTGTCGTTGTTGGGTGAAAGCAAACAGCTGTTTTCTGCGGAGCGCAGCGCGAGCAGGCTCCCGCGTATGGGCTCAGAACAGTCTCATAATACATACATGCACACTTGTGTTTTTCAATGCACACAAATGTGTTCCGTTTCATATTCACGTAAATAAAATCCAAATACAGAAAAAAGTTTTACATGTGTATTTTTGATCCTCACATATTTGTTTTCCGTTTAAATCCTCTGCACCTGCAAACACAACCCGCTCTCTGTGCACGGGTCGCTGTGCATTCGTGTGTGGGTTTTTTGAGACTCCCCTGACGGTCAGCCGATTCGTACTTGTAATTTTTCCTATCTATAGCCAATCAGATGTCTCCTTCATTCTAAGCCAATCACATGAGCGCGCCCCCACCAGGGTATGATTTCTTGCGTTCATGACGTAGTGCTTCATGTACTTATTTTGCGCAGTCCGGAGCTGACAGGTCCATGGAGCTAATCTCAGGACACCTCCACTCTCAGTACAGCGCCACTTTCCGAACAGGAAATGCACGCAAATCCAAGCCTTTATATTATTAAGGTACAGCGCCACTTTCCGAACCATTGATGAATGCTTGTGTACACAAAAACGGCAGGCAAAACCGTTTTAAATGTGTGTTTCCTGTATGGCGAATACAGCTGCTTAATTTATGTCTGTATGAAGTTGTTGTGAGTGTGGAGGGAGCAGCTACAGGTTAGCTTAGCCTAATCGACCAGTGCACAGTGAGGGGGGAGGGGGGGTCATTATCGGCCGATATTCACTCTTAATAGTTTGATCGGTGCTCTCTATAAAGAGGAGAGCTGGATCTGATCGATATGGACATAAACGCGAGTGAAGTATAACTGGACGCGATAGAGAGATCAGATCAGCTGCTGAGACTGACGGAGACACGCAGCTCTGCATGATCACCTGAAGCTCCGCCCTCTGTTTAGCGAGCTGATCGGACTGCGCAAAATGCGTATATGAAGTAATCCTACCCTCGTGGGGGCGCGCTCATGTGATTGGCTTAGAATGAAGGAGACATCTGATTGGCTATAGATAGAAAAAATTACAAGTAGGAATCGGCTGACCTTCAGGGGAGTCTCAAAAAACCCACTCACGAATGCACAGCGATCCGTGCACAGAGAGCGGTTTGTGTTTCCAGGTTCAGAGGATTCAAACGGAAAACAAATAAGTGTGGATCAAAAACACATATGTAAAACTTTTTTCTGTATTTGGATTTTATTTACATGAATATGAAACGGAACACATTTGTGTGTATTGAAGAACACAAGTGTGGATCCTTCTGTGTGCATGTGTGTATTATGAGACTGTTATGAGCCCATACGCATGAGCGGGAGCGCGCTCCTTCACTACAGACTATCGCGCCACCTAACCATTCGCCAAAATGTTTTTAATACCAGCGGTAGCCGACCAAGCGCCGGGCAAAAAACAATCTTCAAATAAAAGAAAGTCACCGGAGGAGTTAAAGGAGAGTGACAGGGAGCATGAGAAGAAGAGGGAGAGAAAGTTTCAGCCAGCTTGATCGATGGAGTTGGCTTCTATAGCGTGGTGCAGTGACGCATCCTAAAACCCTTTTTATAATCTATCGATTAGATTTATGATTCAAAAATTATAAAAGTAGGAGACATGTGGAGATTATCCGGCTGAACAAAACGTGCATTTATTTAACAGGTTCGTTTTCCACAGACCTTATTTCCAGCTATTTTCCAAAACCCTGTGGAGAAATCCCATTGCTTTCTGTCGAGGGAACCAGCAGCTTACTTCCTGGTTTTAGGACGCGTCACTGGCTGCACCTCTCAATATGATGCCAGTATAAACAAGGTCTTCTGTCGGTTCTGTACATCAATGCCGACCTATGCTGACAAGTAAGTGAAGAGTAGAAAATATAAAGGTATTGGCTATAGGGAAATGTCCCAGCAGTTTAGGATAAAGAAGGTTCTAATCTAATCTATAGCCATTACATTTCTAACTCCTAATGACAGGAAGGCAGAAAGTGCATTATACAAATAATAATACTCATAATAATAGCAGACATTTTTTAACAATGACCACAATATCATTATTTTAATAAACCAAATATGAACAATGGAGGAAAATGAGGAACAACGGATTGTTCAAATGTTGTAGTATGTAGTAATGTAGTGTGTACATAAATTACTACTGCAACAAATGTGTTAATTTTCTTCATTATTAGTCGATTTTGTTTTGGACGAATGCTCCGGGCCAGAGGTTACAATAGTGGGGCCAGTGACAATACAAGTCCATTCTACCCTTAATGTCTACCTCTGCGGCAAGTCACTAGCACCCCCCCCCCCCCATGTCGACAATTTACTAGCGGTATTTACTTGCGGTACCGCGGTGGGCCGGCGGTACCGAAGTGGGCCGGTCGAGAGTCCCGGGCTGATTTGTAGTCCCAGTCCGCCCCTGATCTTAACCCTCTCCAGCCTCAGCCCTTTGTTCATATGGTTGGTGTCCTGCTCTGCTTCAGTTAGAATGCTTGTAAAGCCTCAGCCCTGCACTCATGTTATAAACATCTTTCCTTTGAAGACAAACTAAGCTGTCTGGATGTTTCTGCTGCAGGGATGTGACATTAATGTATACATAATAACAACAACAACAACAACAACAACAACAACAACATGTGACCATGTACTAGCCTCAGAAAGGCTAAACAACAACAAACTACACCAAGTGTAGTTCACTGACTGGCAGAGCACTGATGATCTTTAGATTAAAATAACAAGAACAACCCTACACTGAATGATTCACTCTGAACCTCTGAACACCTGAGATTCATCTTATATTCTCCATCCTGCTTTTAGAAAATGAATTATAAAAAAATACATGAGTAGAATTGTTTTATATTTCTGTTGAAACTATCAACCACCAAGAAGTATTTTCAGTTGTTGCTGTTTCCAACGTGTTCCTGGATCTACATGATGCTGACACTGACTGAATAGTTTACACTGAAGTAGCTGCACGTTGTCTTTAATGTGAATGAGAGCTCTTTTCCTCTTTCTGTGTCTCACAGTTTTTAACCTGTTGGAGTTTCCACTTTCTGAACTTCTTCAGCTCTGATCAGATTATTAAACCTGGAGTTATTTCAAACAGGAACATTGTTTTCTAAAGTTACATCATGTTCTCTTTATTCAGACTGGAGAGCTGCAGGTTGTCAGAGATCAGCTGTTCTGCTCTGATCTCAGCTCTGAAGTCCAACCCCTCCCATCTGAGAGATCTGGACCTGAGTAACAACGATCTGCAGGTTTCAGGAGTGGAGCTGCTGAGAGATCTTCTGGAGAGTCCAGACTGCAGACTGGAGACTCTCAGGTCAGTTCTCCATCTGTAGCTTCTGTGCTGAGATGAATATGTGAGAGTTGTGTTGACTCTGAGCTGCAGACATCAGGCTGATATCACTCTGATCCTCACTGAGCATCTTAACCCTCTACAGCAGGGGTGGGGAACCTCTGGGCCCCGGGCCGTATACGGCCCGCGAGACCTTTGCTACGGCCCTCGAGGTAATTTATAAACACACGCAAAAAAGAAAAAAATTAAAGAAATCTAGACCGCAAAAAAATTAAACAAGTGAGTGCCTGTTTTTCCTGTCCAAGGTCAGGGTCCTTGAACACATCACGAGCCTAACGTGTCATCACGTGGTATGTCTCGTCTGACAGGGTGCAGTTCTGACGGAGAGCACCAGAACGCGGCTCCGCTCCGGCACTTCCACAAATTGCAGTACCCATAAGGAGCCGTACACATGCCGCAGTTTCTACGTGGCTGTGTCTTTAGTTGAAAGCCCAGTGGCGATCTGTCATTCTGATCATACAGTCAATACCTTTGTTGTTGTTAGCATCTGGTTAGCTAGCTATGCTAACGAATATAAGAATCTTTTTCTACAACCAGTGAGGTAAAGGCACATCTTTATATGATCATTATAGTTATAAAAAAATAAGAGAATAAAGTAAACAGGTATACAATACTATATGACAGTAAAAAAAAGTTATTATTAATAAACAAGAATACAGTTTGAAAGGAGAGTGATTTGTAAAATATCCATAAAGAAAAATAAATATGCTTACAGTTCTGTTTCATCTGGGTGTTGAGAGATGTTTCCATAGAGCTCCTAATTGTGATCTCAAAGTGCACCAGATTGATGCTTTTAACTTCAATATTTAAAAGAAAATCTTCCCGGGGGAGCACACCCCCTAGAGGAGGTTAGGCCCCCCCCCCCACTTAAATCATGTTCAGATGGATAGGAAAGTAAACACATTGGCACACATCTTGTGTCCATATCTTTCTGTTTGGGTGGTCATGCCACACCGTGCACGTGCGTGCGCGAGTCATGGTGAGATATCTGGATTGAGAGGTTGCTTTTTCTTTGCACAGCATGAAAGAAAGGCCAAATGAATGGGCTGTGATTTTAGTTTATTTAAGCAGAGGTCAATAATTTGTACGGCCCTCGGAGGATGTTGAAAACATTGAAATGGCCCTTGAGAGGAAAAAGGTTCTCCACCCCTGATCTACAGGCTCAGCCCTTTGTTCATATGGTTGGTGTCCTGCTCTGCTTCAGTTAGAATGCTTGTAAAGCCTCAGCCCTGCACTCATGTTATAAACATCTTTCCTTTGAAGACAAACTAAGCTGTCAGGATGTTTCTACTGCAGGGATGTGACATTAATGTATAACTAATAACAACAACAACAACACCATGTGACCATGTAATAGCCTCAGAAAGGCTAAACAACAAGAAACTACAACAAGTGTAGTTCAGTCAGACAACTCACGTGTTCCTTTAACATGTTTATTAGAAGCAGCATATAGTTGAGTTTGGCGTCTAGGCTCGGGCTTCATCACTCCATAGATATACATAGCACGATGAGTGATGATTAAATAACTAACCCCCGAGCCTACAGGTGGAAGCTGGGGTGGTGGTGGGGCAGCAAGCAGCAGTGACGTAGAGGTAGCTGCGGCAATAGCAGCAGCAAGCAATGCATGGAGAGAGATCTGGCAGGTTAAATAGAGCGGCATATTAAGGAGACTCTGTTTGGTTGGTTGTAGAGTGGCAAGGGGCGTTATGTATGAATGCAGCATAAGTGCTCGAGTTGACTGCCTGAACTAGCTCGCAGGCTTCGCCTCATTTCAGTCAGACAACTCACGTGTTCCTTGTTTATTAGAAGCAGCATATAGTTGAGTTTGGCAACTAGGCTCGGGCATCATCACTCCATAGATATACATAGCACGATGAGTGATGATTAAATAACTAATCCCCAAAACTGCATGGAGATTAGATACTATCCCCCAAAACTGCGTAGCCCGAGCCTGACGCTGGTGATGTAAGACTGATAAGTAGAGGGCCTGGCGAGCTGCCATGTGGCCAAGCACAGCGGCTTTAAGGGGAATATACTACTAAGTGAGACTGCTATGTGAAGGCCTGAGGAATAGCCCAGAGCCGATTCTTCCCTGAGCACAGCAGCTTGGAGAGGAATATACTACCTATATACACTACCTAGTGAAACTGCTATGTGAAGGCCCGGGAACAGCCTGAAAAGCCATCCCCATTAAGCACCACGGATTTAAGGGGAATATACTACCTAGTGAAACTGCTATGTGAAGGCCCGGAAACAGCCCGAAAAGCCATCCCCCTTAAGCACCACGGATTTAAGGGGAATATACTACCTAGTGAAACTGCTATGTGAAGGCCCGGGAACAGCCCGAAAAGCCATCCCCCCCTTAAGCACCGCGGCTTTGAGGGGAATATACTACCTATCAAGACTGCTGTATCTAGGTCTTTGAGGCAGCGACAATGAGCTTTCCCCCCCAAGCATGCAGCTATGAGGGGAATATACTATAATGAAATAAATATAATCTAACCCAGCAACCACCTGGTATGCAATAACAGAATTCTACAGATATACATATTTGAACGTTTACTCATCATCGAGTAGTGCAAGAGCTCATGGTTGTTTGTGCTGAAAGGATCTCATTCATGTGAGGCATGATATAGCGCTGGTGGGCAGAAGATGACCGACGGCCCAGGATACTCAGGGTTGAGGTAGGCGGATATAGAGCTGCGGTTGTGGCTGTGCAGATTCTTAAACAGTGGGAATAGCGATCTGGGGGCAGATCGCAGCTTAGGCAGAGATCACGCAGCTTGGAGGAGAACCCTCGTCGTTGGGTTTGCAGCCATCGAATAAACATGGGTGCCGACCCATGTGTCAGAGGGCAATGATGCGAGAAGTTCAGCATGGAAGATAAAGGACAAAGAAAACAGTGTTAGTTTTAGCAATGATTATTCGGGGTTCCTTGACTCCCCAGACAGAACTGTCAGACATTGAATGTTTCAAAACTGTGTATATTTGATCTCCAACGTTAATTCAGTAAGGGTGAGATTATGCTGAGGATTAAAAGGTGAGAGGTCTGTGTATATTCGCCACCTGAGAAACCAATAGAAAGCTGTAACAACTGCCTCTGACGTTTATCAATGTATAGTGAAACCCCTTTGCCAGTCTTTATCATTGCGTGGAGGACGTGCCTGCTTAAGGCCCTTGAGGAGCAAATTAATGAACTCTAGCGTGGCTTAATACTTAGCACTTGAAGATTGCAGGATTCAAATAAAAATACAATTATATATAATGCATGAACGACTATTATATCTATTGCACAAGTACACAGAGGAGGGACAGAAGAAGATAAAGTACCAAGCTGAATTGTAATCTTTGAATCATGCTCTTGGTTGGAGGCAGAATATGGGAAATCCTTGAGGGCTTGACGTGTAGATCCAGAGTAATTTGGTTGAACGAAGGGCATGGCAAGCTGGTGGGGCAAACCACTCATTGTGAAATCCCCCGAACCAGCAGAAGGCGCAGCATCTGTAAGTAACTAGAGAGGATCTGAGGACACCGCAAGGTCATTATAAAAGAATGAACATAACATTGCACTCGTCGCAGAGGGGCTAAGGACCAAAGATCTGAGCAATAACCATCTCTAAGATTGCATTCATGCCGAATAGTCCGCGTCTTTACACCAGACGCAAGTGTATTACATCATTTCATTTGCAGAAGGTTGGGTTTGCGTTCACCCAGGCAACTTCAAATAGACTATGAACTGTAAACTAAAGTCATTGTATGGAGATGCTTTTTCAACAATTGGCGGGACATCAAGCGGATAAAATGCAGATCCCAGCAATTCCTACAGTAGCCTGCATCATGGAGCATTGGCAGGTTATTTTCATACTGCTGTTAATCTGGAGAGTGCATCAACAGACTCTGCGGCCGGCGCATAGGATTATAAATCAGACAACGTGCATTAAAAACATTATAACACAAAATGCGACGTTATGCAGTGAGGAGGTTTCACCGATGACAGGTGGCTCTGATGGAATTGTACCACTGCCTTTTCTCTGTACACAGGGGACCAGTGAGGTAAGCAGTCACCAGAATGAATGCATGACCATATAGGTTACTGGATGTTGCACACAGCATAGATAGCAAAACAAGCGATGATGCACAAATAGTTCTTTCCCATGTTTTGATGCGGACTGCGTCACACCAGCAATGAACCTCTCTGGAGTTTACTAGCGAGCGACCCGAGGCCACCTCTATTAGGCGGAGCAGAGGTATCGGACTGCTTCCACACCAATCCAACGAACCGCATCAAGGGGTTAACGCTACAGGGACCGATTCAATAGTACTAACCAAGCAGGTGTGAACGTGACCTAAGACTATGGTGCCTTATGGTTTGAACAGAAAGGCTAGCGCTTGTTCCTTATAAATATAAAACATCTCTTTTAGAGAGACTACCAGTGGGAGACCATAATTGAAGGCAGTAATCAGTATTGAATGTATTACAAGTCTAATATGTAGTATAACGTAGAGCACTTTGAACATTTGGAAAGGCGCTAAATAAATAACATGAATTGTAATTATGGCAGTTCTGATGCGGGACAGCTTGTCTGGTGGCAGTGAAGCTTGCATCAGCACACTATCGAGAATGATACCGATAATTCTAGACGTGTGGAAACAGTTCCTGTTCTGAAAGAGGTAGGCCTAGCTGTTGAAAAGTTTTATCTGGGAAAGTTAACTAGGAAATGGTTAAAAGATGGACACCAAGGGGTGCTTGCAAGTGTTGCAGAGAATCCAGCATACTGCTTCTGATGAGGTGTCAAAGAAACGTGGGCTATTATGGCAACCAAATGCACATTTGATTGTAAAACCTTAAAATATATATGCCACAGAAGGCATATGGGATGTCTGCTTTCCCTGCCATGTCATCTACAGAGCAAAGAAACAGGAAAATCTTTAGTAGTTATTAATACTCTTAACAGAATAATCGT